TTATTGTTATCATATTTACATGATTGACGGCTAATTTTAAATGTATCCCGTTTAATCTAGACATCTCTTCAATGTAAAACTTTATAGGAATGTCAACAATTATTACATATATACTTTAGATTATTTCTGATTATAGTTACATAATAAATGAATAAAGTAAATCAAACTGACCTGTGTAATTAATTGTTGATATAATATTGAAAATTGTCCCTATAATACTCTATTTCCATATTTATAAATAAAATATTTAATATTAAATTTTGCAGCATAATGAAAGACCTTGAACTTGTTGTCAATGAAAACTTGTTTAAACTATACTATTATAAATTATAATTTATAATATAATTTTAATTAAAGAATTATATTGTATATTTTATACGTTACAATTGTTTAGGTAAAATTCTAATAAAACCAAATAAAGTAATTTATGAAATTTAATTTGTGATATACAATAAAAATATTGATTATAATTTAAAAAACTTTTATTCTGTTAAAAACAACTGAATTGTAAAGACTATTATTTAATTTAGATCGATTAAATAAACAAAACTGCAATAAAAGTTTTACATTCAATATTGTAATCAATAAAGAATTTAATATCTGAAAAAGGAATATGAGATGAGTCTCCAAAAAATGCCTTAATTTTAACTTTCAATATTGCTTTCGAACTTTCCCTATAAGATTAAAGATTAAAGATTTAAAGCGTTTTTGAGACTCATTTCATATTCCTTTATCAGATATTACATTTAAATATAGATGAAATTTTTTAATTAAAAATATAATAATTGTACAAAATACAATGCTGTTAACAAAATATTTTCATTTATCATATGTTACATATCTCTCAACCTGGTGCACAAAACATAAAACATGTTATTAAACAAATATTTTTTAAAATTTATACTTCTGTCTCAACATGTTCTCTATGATTATCATTGTTATCATTGTCACCTTGGTTACTTTTATCTCGACCATCATCGCTTGACTTGATTACAACTTTACTTTTCCTTACGGTAATCATCCATACAAAGACTGATATAACGATAATACCGACAATCGTAAGCATCGGCACGGCATAAATGGGCGATTGTGTCCCTCCTTAGGGTCGTTCACAAAATACATAAAATTACTTCAAACTTACATACAGTACATAAATCTATGCCATACCTGAAGTAAAACCAATTTCTCGACATATGGTTGCCTCCACATCCCAACTCGAGTTGTGTAGACACGTACGCACTGAATGGACCTCAAACTCGTAGCCGGGCTTACACTCAAACTCAACGGTCGTGCCGTCGATGGCATACCATATGTTGGGCTCAAAAGCGTACGAATCGTTTACGGAAACCAACGCTTCGGACAATTCATTGAACTCTATTTTGCAGAACATTTTGGG